GCGTTCAGACTATTCCACCTCCGAATTACCACAAGACTGCCTTCTATCAAACAGGGAGATAATCCGTGCCATGAACGCCTTTGCGAATTTCGCAAACAATGCACAGGAACGAAGTAGATCAGCTCCCGACGCTCTTAAATGTACATGTCAATATTGGGCCTTTCATCTCTCACGAGCTCCATCCATGGGATGACTTGCTCAATCATATATTCAAACTTTTCTGAGTTCACTTTCTCCTGTTCTGGCTCGAAAGACAGTGTTATTTTAAGGGTCTACGTTCTTGCCTCGCTGTTTTATCTGAAGGGCAGAAACTTGCGAAGGTGTGCGTATTCTATGCTATGCGTGACCATTTACCTGACTTGCGCATGCTTTGAGTTTCAGGGTCATCTCGCTGCGCATCTGTATAATGCTTGTTCGTTTATCTCCTCTTCTTTGCATTCTTTCTTCCATCCATATGGAGCCTCTGCAGGGTGAATAAAGGCGAGCATACACGACGAGGAAGAGCTAGTAAGAATTTATTATCTCACTCTTCGGAAAAGACTCCTTGTACGTGTACCAGACCATGTAGTATAATCCAAAGCAAGGGAAAAATCATAATATTGCTTAGTCGGAAAAGACTGACATGGTCGTATAAATCGGACGGAGTCGAATCTCTAGCGAGTAGCCTAGAGATGAAATACTTTCCTGATTCCAACGAGGACTTGGCTTCTTCAATATTTGATGGTGTGATTGGCATTCAGAATGGCAGCAGATATCATAATGACAGGTCAAAGAAATAGTTGTACCGCCACTCCCGATGACGGTGATTACATAAAGCTAACCTTCATATCACTATTTGAATGCTGATACCAACACTAATAGTATCATACTCATAGACATAAGCGTTCATCACTGACGAGAGGTGATTCCTAGGAAACATGAATAAAAAGGATAGAGAACGAAAATGAAACAAAACGAGGACACTCCTAAATGACGAATAAAAGTAATGCGCACGAGGAAATCGTTGGAATAAAATGATAAAAAAGATCGCCCACTCACAACCAATATACGATATATATCAAGAAGTCCCGCAAAACTCATAATCATCTCCAGTGAGAATGGTGCATCGGATGGGATCGTGCAAGTCCTGCTCCGCCTATCTCTCCGAGGTCTCTAGTGGGATTAAATAGACATCCCATCCCAGCGTGCATGACCTGTTGCTCAACACTGATTAGCAGCGCTATTCGCAATCATTCAGGCCATTGACCACGATGGCGACCAGCACCACGTTCCCGCAGGCAAGTTGTCATCGGCCGCCGAAGCCGTATTCATGACAAGGTCGCGCAGAATCTTGCTCGACTGCGCAACGCGATGAATATACTCTTCCGGAATGTCTGGATATTCCTGAACCGTCGTGACGCATGCATGGCCTGCGAGATCCATGCTGTTGAATATCTCCTTGTGAGTATCCCACCAGCTCTCCATAGGACTCATAGACTCTAATCCTGTGACAACGACGACGACTGGGACTCTCTTCTTCCGGCAGGTCCCAGAGTAGACAGTATTGTAGGTGTTAAGGATGGCGCGAGGGGCGGCTGTGTTTTGCACGCAGTACACCAGAAGGTCGATACCACCTGATGGTGACTTGTGGCTCATGAGCTTGTTCAACAAGCCCTTCAGCTGTTTCTTCGCTCGCTTGTGTGGTACCGTGCCTGCAGACCCCTCGTTCAGACCCGCGGTATCAAACAGGGCGAATTTCTGGCCGGAAATGTCTACTGAGTAGCGCTTGAATTCAGAGGTGCACCCCGGTGCATCATTGGAGGTCTTCGCGATTTGCTCTTGCGCGACAACATTAATGATTGAACTTTTCCCTGAGCCGGTTTCGCCAAATATGACAACGTTTTTTTCCCGCGTATGCGTCTGCTACATATTATCAATGGGCTTTCTTTGCGGTGACGTGAGTCAAGAAGTAGAGCACGTACATCGTATTTTCGGGATGATGCAGGCTGACCATTCACGACGCTCTGAAAAGTTGACTGAATTAGCGGTAATAATGAGGCCCTGTATCAATTTCATACCTCATTAGTATCGCCCGCTTTCAATTTGAGGGATATGCGCTGATTATTGTCATCCGAATGTAATGCTTTGGAATGGGTGTCAGCAGACGATGACATTGCTGAAGCTGAAGACTCACTATGCTCTGCCAGCAATTGTTCGAAAGTCGTGTCAAACGCACACACAACCTCATATTGATCGAGCTCATATAAGGCGCGAATTTCGAGGTGAACTGCTTTAGATTTGAAAATGGACATGAGCCGCTTGAAAAACGTCTGGGGGCGTTCATGTATGTTTAAGGTCTGGTTCCAAGAAACGCTACAGTCGGCCATCACTGCCTGGATGGCCCGGGTGTTATACTGGCCATAGGGAGTAGAGACATGGACATAATGGCTGGTGGGCGTAGGATTAGGCGACATAGGAAGACCCGTGCCAGCGATAATGGTAAGTAACATGAGGTGCTGACTTGCTTAAAGAGTGACAAGTACCAGCTTGAGTTGATGAAATGTAGAAGAAAAAAAAAGCGGGGTAAGTTTGGTCATTTGTAGTAGGGATTAATGGAGCTTTATAGCGTCGGGAAACGCCAAGGCTGCGTCCATTCAAGTTTGGGTGCCTGTACGCGGCAGTACGCGAAGCTGGTCACCAAAGAACGGTAACGCTCAGCTGTCATAACCCGCTACGCCGGTATGTCGATACAACCGTAGTGTGCAGTGCTCGTAAAGTTAGAACTTGCACTGCTTCTTGGTCAGACCATATATAGAAGGAAGCTAGAAGACTCTGGATTTCCATGATACTAGTAGAGTCTTTCCCCATGATCAACCTACTTGCCACCATCTTTCATCATTTCATTCAAGTTGCTCTCATGCATGATATATAAGCTGCAGGAGACGGTCAAATGCTGGTCACTAGTAGGAATTACTTCAATATCGAACATGGACTTAAAGCGATCGCGACCCTGACTTCATTTTCCTGCAGCTGTGCAATGTGTATCGGTACCCCATCCCGTCATTTACATATCACTTGGCAATCATTAATCGCCTCTCTCCATATGGTCTCTGCGGCCTTGCGAGGCGGTACCATCGATGTCATATCATTTCAATTGGATCCTCTTTGAGACGCAGACTGTATATCTTATCTCGAGTACCACGGTACTGCAGCGTCTGCTAAATAGAGTCATCTACGATCTACCTGCTAAACCATAGCGCCGCCCTTTAGTCCCTTCCAATATTCATGTCCATCCACTCGCTCCTCCCCAACCACTCACACGACCCGATACCAGTCCCCGATATTTCTGTCCAATTGCCACCGCGCTCAAGTCTAGAGACGCTCATATTTGTCGTATGTATCATGGATAAGAGGCAATCTTTCTAGGCGGAAGGCCGGCCGGAGAGTCAACGAATAGCAAATATACTAGCAAAGACGGATTATACATACGATACCCGCAGGCGCATGACTATAGTTACATACTACTTGGGTCTCAAGGCGAACTACTTGCGATGACAAAGTTGTCTGCTTGGAACGTTGAACCAATAACTTAGGGATGCGATACGTGTTTTGTGGTCATAAGTTGAACTGGCGCCACAGTGCAGTGACAGTGATGCTAACCGGAGCATTGCGTACATAACGCGCCTGTTGACGTAGTTGTGGACCCCAGGCGCGTTCGGCACCGCGAGGACAATCTGGTGTTCGTTTGAGAATGTTCTTTAAAAAAAAAAAGATTACTGCACAGTGCAGTACGATTTTGGCAAGTGGTACAGCAGTACAGCATGCGTGCAGTGAGGGAATTACAATTATGATAGTCGTCGCCGTCTATATTGTTTGATCTTGAGCAATAAAAAGCAGAGGGTGCCGTCCTCCGCACTTCTAATGTGTTCGTTTATGTGACAGCGTACAAAGCAGAGATCCATTATACGGACAAGTCGAATTTTGATTTGGTGAATCGGATCTTCAAGGATGTAGTATTCGGAGTGGAGGCAAGAGCTCCGACCGATCATTGGAGCCTGCACAAAGCTCGCAGATATCTTGACCCACATCATATGTGGAAAGGTTGTGATCTCCCATAGGCAGACCAAGAGAATGAAGATAGCCGTTCCGTCTATCAAGAGAGGGTTAAATGGTGAAATAAGAATTTGGCACCATGCAGTTCGTGCAGTCCAAAGTAAGTGTGCTGTAGCCAAAACTTTATCGGTAGCAAGCTACATAAGAACGGGTACGGTGTCGAATGAGCCTTTGAGACCACCGTACTATAGAACACAGCCTGGACGGTGGTAAAGGAGGCCTGCAGAGCAATGTCAGCGATAGCACCATGATCAGGGATTATGATACCAGCATTATACAACAGTGCTATTAGCATCTTAGAAGCCTCGCCCGCACCAAGACCACATAGCCAACATTGGCGAGCTGATAATCAGAAATTCGTAATCTCTAGTAGTCACTGGCAAGTCAAGCTGAGAGAAGCAAAAACCATAGCCCACCGCGAGGGTCGAACTCGCAGCCTTCAGATCACAATCGCCTAGCAGTAAGAGTCTGACGCTCTATCCGATTGAGCTAGGCGGGCGGTATGGAATCGCTTGCCTTGTCAAATCATTGCCGAGACTAAGCCCAACATGTTGACCTGGACGGTGCCACGGTGGTGGAGAAGGAGAATAGGCGCTTAGCTGCAAGTGGCAGAATCCTGTGGTACTGGCAATCGTGGCGACGTGGGCGCCTGTCCCCCTCCGTTGACGACTTAAAGTTGCAGGATACGGCCACATACACTGCGAGCCCGAGGATAGTGCTGGCATCAGACTCAGAATGACATGCTGACCGTGATGCCTACACTAACCTAGTGCTATCGGTACATCTGTTGCAATAGCCTTTTCTGCATCCAAGTCCACATGGCAGTCAACATCAACGCACCGACACTAAAAGATCATGAACTGAGGAAATCAGACGCATCATGGTAGAGATAAACGAGAAAAAGCAGTAGCCCACCGCGAGGGTCGAACTCGCAGCCTTCAGATCACAATCGCCTAGCAGTAGTAAGAGTCTGACGCTCTATCCGATTGAGCTAGGCGGGCGACATCAGGGCGTCTATCCAAGCCATTAGAAGCGCCACCCGGCTAATACCGTGTAGGCTACTGAACCTTATCTCAGCCACTGTACAGTTTTTCCAAACACGGCAACTCTGCTCATGGCGGGGGATTTGTCGATTAGCAAGGCCTTCAACGCAAGCAACAGCCCGGCAAGGTAAGCCAAAGCCTACACCTTCTTCCTTCGCAGTCCAACCTTCTTTTAGCCTCAAGCAAAAAGTTTAAAATGACCCACGACGCTGTTTGGTTCTCTCGTCCTAGAAAGTTCGGAAAGGGTGCTCGCCAGTGGTGAGTTGTGGAGCATCGTCTGCATCATGGGTCATTGAGTGATGGATATCTAGCCGCCTCTGTGCGCACCAGGCCGGTCTCATCCGCAAGTATGGCCTTGACTTGTGCCGTCAATGTTTCCGTGAAAAGTCAGCTGCCATCGGTTTCGTCAAGGTGAGTGCCTTAGCGTTCGAGTGTGTTGCAGTAACTCATGTTCAACGAATAGAACCGGTGAAGTGTATCCAGTCGCGCACTTGCATCTTATATCATCATTCTCTCGTCACGCTTTCTTATCTTGCCAGATCATTCGGTCGTCTTGTATGCCAGTGATAATATGCCAACAAGACTAGCATGAAATGCACCTACCATCCCATGCGAAACGACCTCGTATTTGAGATGCAACTTCGATGCTTGTTGTACCACACAAATGGGTCATCTTATTGACTTGAACAAGCACCGCTGCATTAAGTAGTTCAATGCTTGACGTGGGAGTATTATAAGAATCATAATGCGTGAATACACCTTGGCTTGGACTATTTATTAGCTCACACATAAAACCCAGAAAACAACGACGTCATAGATTGGACAATAAGTACAGAAGTAGTGCTGCGACGGTTTAACCATTAAACAGACATTGCTTTAGATGACGGGGAAGATTAAGGCTATACAAATGGGGTGTGGCAGATAAGAAAGATGTATCAGAAAGCAACTAATAGCAATGGGGGGTTGGAATATGCCGGTGCGGAAGTACAAATGCGCAGTGGTATGATAAAAGTCGGCCCTTGCTCATGATTGAAAAAATCTCCTGGAAGATAGTGAGATCGAGCCGACGTGCGTGAGGTATCGAGCGTCGAACGCAAGGACATAGAATATACATTGAAACCATTAAAGAGTGACTGCGCAGGTGCGCAAAAGAACGAAAGAGCAGAAACGTCCAAAGCGGCATGTAATATGCCCGCTCTACATGCCGTAGCCGTAGCTCTGATAAGGATCATTCAATGACCCGGCAACACCGACCGTGCCAAAAGGGCTCACGTTAGCATATCCAGCAACGCCCGTGTAGCCAGAGGCGTGGGTATGGGGGGGTGTCAGACTCGCACTATGAGGGGAGGTGCCTTGTAAGACATATCCGTCGATCGAACGCGCCTGAAGGCCGTGCATTTGGGGGCCGAGGTGAGAGTGGGCGTAGGAGCCTTGACCTTGCATACCATACAAACCTCCCTGGGCATAGACATCAGCCACGCTGGTAGGATGCATTCCTTGAGGGATATGCCGGGCTCCTGCAGAGTGGTGACCGTGACTGTGATGTCCAGGATTACCACCGTGGTGACCTTGGTTGCCCATGGGCATCATGCCCTGAGGAGCGTGGTAGCCGAAGTTCTCAGCGTTGGCTTGTTCCCGCTGCAACTTGTTTTGGATCCGCTTGCCGTAAGGAGTGTTGCGAATTAAAGGAAGGACTGGGCGAATGCCTTCAACGAGGAGCATACGCTGTGCAGGCTCGGCATAGTCTAGCGCGGTCTACAAGAAAGTCCAGTACAAATCACGAATGGGCGAAAGAAAAAAGTACCTGCACACAATAGTTGCCATACGAGTCGCGAAGAAGTTTCTCCAAGCGGGAGCGGTTGAGTAGCTCTTCAATTAAAATTTTCCTAGTACTATGTTCGGCCACACGGATGCACTAGCCCCAGTCGGCATGAGAACGATCATAAAGACGAAAAAATACTCACTTTTTCAATGACGTTGGAGCTGAACTTTTGGACAGAAAGTGCACAAACGTTGCCCGTGAATTGCCGAATAACAGCATCGCTAAAACGATTGTCGTTAAGATCCAAGATATATTGGACAACCTGGTAACGCTGACTGTTAGGTATTATAACGGATGATCAACGGGACACCAACGTAGTTGCCGTAAGGGTCTTGAACGAGGGTCAACGCGTTATAAGTGATTTCATTGACAAGCTGGACACGCTGGTGGTCCGAAGCATGATCAATGCAGCGCTGCAGCACGCAGCACCCGTGGCGGTGGGTAGCGACCTCGACGCAGTTAGCAGCCACTGCGTTATATATGAACTGCCACACCAAAGTCAGTTTACCAATACTACGCCGTAACACCATCGCACTCCTCACCTGGTTATCTTCCGGTGCAAGCTTGTTGAGACATTTTTGAATAACATGATTTCCGTTGAGATCCTTGATGAGCACTACAACATGAAGGCTGAGCGCAAGAATGATGGAATGAATCTGAGTGTTGTATCTATGATCAGTCTGCGCTCTACTGTAAGTCTGGAAGATGAAAATCCGCTAAAAGCGACTTGCCTGGCGTCTAGTGGACAAGAAATCAATCATTTTCTGTACTGCGCGCGTACCGTGCATGTTCAACGAAATGTTGACGAGATCCTGAGCGACGGACTCGCAAATGACGTTTCGTTGATCGTCTGTGGAGAACTCGAGGAGCTTTTGGCACAGGTAGTTACCAAAGGGGTCGGTCATGAGGTCCGCAAAATGACCGAATGTTTCGCGGAAGATCATGTCCCGGTGTTCAGGGACACCTTCCTCCAGTTTCTTTTGAAGGTAACGGCAACCATGCTGGTCTTTGCAAAGTGTGGGTATTTCGCCCTGAAGGTCTTCAAGACGTGTGCCAGCGAAACGGTTCACTACATAAAAGATGAGTGAAAAATGACTAGCTTGAGAAGACAAATGGCCTTACTATCCATGTCACCCCTCTTGTGCTTTGGACCGTGTAAACCGTTCATCTTTCCATCAGCGCCATTGCCACGACCAATATGCAATCCATATCGCGTCCCATTGTGGTGGTAAAGGGCGGTTGAGCCGCTCGCACCATTGACGCTGTTACCAGACCGGGTACTCGAGTCGAGGTCATATGCATTAAACCGACTGCTGTCCATCTGACCGTTCAACCCATAAACATCTTCGACGCCGTATTGTTCGAAACCCATCGAAACATTGTCGTACTGGCCGGATGACATACGAGAGAGAGATGGCTGAATATCACTCTTGCCAGAGTCCTCTATTATCGGGTAACTACTTTGTGAAGAAAGTCGTCCGCTCAAAGCCTGAGAATCAGGAGTATGAGGAGTGCCGGGAGTCTGCAGAAGATGCCCGTTGCCACCATTCGCCATAGACAGAGGGGTAGCTGGCACTGAGCGCGTCGTGCTCATGGCAGGGGAGCCCCGCCTGGATCCAGGTGCTTGCCCAGTTGAACCAAGAGACGCTTGCGCATGTTGGCCTGCGTGTGGGGTCGCAGCGCCACCGCCAAGGGTGGTGGCAGACAAATCGATAGGCGAAGACGTCAGTGTCAAAGTTGGATTGGTGACAGTGCGGCGATCGTTACGGGAGCTCAAGCCGTCGGGTACACGAGGGTTGCTGGAGAATTGTGGCCACTCAGAGTGCTTGTCGCCTCTTGCAGAGAATGAGTTTCGTGGGGATGTCTGGGAGCGATGAGCGAGATCTAGAGCAGCAGACGAAGTGGTAATCTTGTGTTGCGATGTCAGTCTGGAGTAACACAAAACGCAAGCAAAGTACCCTGTTAGCATAAGATGCAAACTTGTCCTCATCGGAGGTTGGGAGATGCCTCATTGCGTCTAGAAAAGATGAGAAAGGCAAAACGGGCATAGACATCACTTACTGTGCATTTCCTGATCCAATTGCTCGTCGAGCATCATTCCCACATTATACTGTTGGCCACGAGGGCGTTCCTCGTCACTGTATCTCCCGCGAGTCAAAAGCGAATGAGCCACGGCGCCAGGACTAGGCGTCGCTCGGGATGGACGCTCTCCAACTAAGGAGAGACCTTGCAAATGACTAGCTAGCTCCTCGTCATGACTGCTAGCTGAAGTACGACGACTGGCTGGCATGCTTTTAGCTCCAGCAGGCCGTCCATAGTGGCCATTCATTCCATGACTAGACCCAAGCTCTGGGGACCGATGAACGGAAGGCGCATAAGTGACCGACTTCCTTTTGTCTGCAACCGCAGAACCAACAGCCTTAGAAAGCGTCTCTGCATCTACAGAAGAGTGAGAGAGTGCCGCCCTAACAAGATTGTCGCCATTCAAAACCGCGTTCACTCTTGGAGGGGTGGTGGGCGCCGAGACCGCGAGATGGGCTGAGGCAGTTGGATCATAAGGAATGCTAAGCAACTCCTGCGCCTGCTGTTGTTCGAGTGCGCGCATTTGATCCTCGAACATTTTCCGCTGCAATAACCTTTGACGCTCGTGCTCCAAGCGCTTCAGCTCGACGCGCTTCGAGACGTAAGGTCAATTAAAAGGAAAAAGTAAGGGTGATAATTATGAATCAGACTCACAGCCGACATATCAGGCATGTTAGTACCCAGTCTCGCAGCCTGGAGGACACAATGAAAAGTGGGACAGCAGAAGGAAGAGAACTGAACTTACCGAGTCTGCGAGATCGAGGAAAGCAGGAGGACTCTGCTTTCTCCCGTCTGAGGAACGATTATCGGTGGAAGCATTAGTGTTTTCAACGGTAATCATTGCGAATAACAAAAAAGGTCGACAACTTTTCTTCCAAAGGTGTGAACGACAGAAAACAGATCGAAGAAAGCGACAAGGGATTAGAAAAATAAGCCTAGTTGCACACAAGGATCCTGAATGAAGAGAATATGAGTCAAACAAACCTAATGAAAGTAAAGCGCGTCGCCAATACTGACCTGCAAGCCAATTTTGAGCCTGTCTATTAGGATTGAT